TCTTTTTAAGTGGGAGAACTTGCACAATTTGTGGCTGACTAAATACTTTTTTTCCCCACTGTATGCACGCACCACTTTTCCGTTATTTATTTTTTAGAATTTTTTGAAATTAGTTATCTTTTCATTCCACTTCACCAATTTGGACTATTTTGTGTATGTCCATTACATGAAATCCAAATAAAAATCTATTTAAATTACAGTTTGTAATTGGCAAACTTCAGACGGGCCTGGACATGCGCTGGCTTGAGCAGGGAGACCTTGCATGCGCTGCAGGATTTTAATCCATTACGGCGTAGTGTGTTACTAATGGTTTTCTTTGAGACTGTGGTCCCAACTCTCTTCAGGTCATTGACCAGGTCCTGCCGTGTAGTTCTGGGCTGATCCCTCACCTTCCTCATGATCATTGATGCCCCACGAGGTGAGATCTTGCATGGAGCCCCAGACCGAGGCTGATTGACCGTCATCTTGAACTTCTTCCATTTTCTAATAATTGCGCCAACAGTTGTTGCCTTCTCACCAAGCTGCTTGCCTATTGTCCTGTAGCCCATCCCAGCTTTGTGCAGGTGTACAATTTTATCCCTGATGTCCTTACACAGCTCACTGGTCTTGGCCATTGTTGAGAGGTTGGAGTCTGTTTGATTGAGTGTGTGGACAGGTGTCTTTTATACAGGTAACGAGTTCAAACAGGTGCAGTTAATACAGGTAATGAGTGGAGAACAGGAGGGCTTCTTAAAGAAAAACTAACAGGTCTGTGAGAGCCGGAATTCTTGCTGGTTGGTAGGTGATCAAATACTTATGTCATGCAATAAAATGCAAATTAATTACTTAAAAATCATACAATGTGTTTTTCTGGATTTTTGTTTTAGATTCCGTCTCTCACAGTTGAAGTGTACTGTACCTATGATAAAAATTACAGACCTCTACATGCTTTGTAAGTAGAAAAACCTGCAAAATCGGCTGTGTATCAAATACTTGTTCTCCCCACTGTAAACAGTGAGTAGCAGCAGCATAAAAAGGGGGGGGGGGGGGGTCAATGCTAGTCCGGGTATTCATTTCATTGACTGTTCAGCAGTCTAATGGCTTGGGGGTAGATGTTGTTAAGGAGCCTTTTGGACCTAGACTTGATGTGGTTAGCTGATACTTAAAATACTTAAGTATTAAGAACTCCTTGGCAAAAACGTCAAAGTTAATTACAGATTTCTTGATTATCTTAGACAAAGATTATGGATATACTGACAAGATGTCTCTCCGCCCAATGGGAGTCATTGTCCTCAAAGCGGCACAGAGGGCTGTCTAGCTCCCGCCTATCCTTTCTTTGGATTGGTGGATACATGTCAGTATTGTAATCCTTTTTTAAATATTCGATTACGGTTGTGGACGTCAACCGCCTGTATTCAATGGAGAGAAATGCTATGCTACTAGCCTCATACCATGAATATGCATAGCCATCTTGAGACAACGGCGATATAAAGTGCTTTTTCTCAAAGTTGCCGGGATGTTACGCGCCCTACTTATATCAGTACACTAGTAACAACTTTATCATTGCGAAACTTCTATTAGATCAAATAAACCTCACGTAGCAAATAACCCATTATTTTTTTGTTTACCAAATTCGACACTCAATGACCTACAAAAACTGCTCGCTTGGTGGGCTAAACAACGAAAAAACACCACCTGCTGGAGGGATACAGATTTTCCGCCGAGTTGGGCCTCTCGCTTCCTCTTCCTCTGTTTTACTGCTTCTTGTTCTTCAGTGGATTTTTTTTAATGGCGATTGGCAACCAACTTTAAGATGCATTAACGCCACCAACAGGATTGGAGTGTGGAACAGAGACAGGGAAGGTCTAAATCCTACCCAATATTCTCGTCTCTCTAAGGAAACTAAATACATCATTAAATACTATACATCCCCTGAAGATTTCCCCAGCAGTTAACTTAATCCTGGCTCTTCAACCCCATTGCTCCTCAAATCTAATAACAATCACTCCCTTTCCCGCCCATATTTTGAGGAAGTATTACTGGGTATGTTGTTGCTCTGGTGGCTCAAGAGGGACAAAACAACAGTAATATTGCCCCTTTTTTCCTCATTCTTCAAGCTAAGGTCTTTAGGGAGTATGCAAGCGCAGACAGTCGCGTCGCATAGCCAAGTTCTGCTAGGAGCAAACTGAACCTATGTATGTGGACGCCTTTACTCAATACAATGGAGTCTCTTGTGAGAGGTGGGGATAAGAGATATCCAACTATTATCTGATATTTCTTACCACATCCTCCACATTTTTATTCTCATGTTTAACTGCTATATGTTTACCTTGTAATTACTCATGGATCTATAATTAACAACTGATGTGAGTGAATTCACTGTCATTATTTCTGACAGAAATGTTATGTCATTATTTCTGACTATACTTGTATTTTTTCTTTCTTTTTCTCTCTCTTCTTCGGTGGGGTTTATCGGCAGTTGGCTCCCAACGTTATGGTGCATTACTGTCACCTATTGTACTGGAGTGTGGGACAGAGACACAGAGACACAAAATCCCACCTGCCAGCCCCGTTTCTCTTAAAAAAAGATAACAAAATATTTGAGACTGTATCTAATGACGTTCTACTCAATATACTCTTTAAACTAATTTCCTGTATCCCCTTCTCCCTCATACTAGATCTCAGCCTCTCTCTTTCCCTCTCACACTGCCCACACTGTATCAATACATGCTCCACTGTCTCTGTTTCCTGGCAATAATCACACTTTCCTGTTGGATGCTTTCCTATCACTTTTAATGTCTTATTCAACCGGCTGTGTCCCACCCTTAATCTTGTAAAAATAGCCTCCTCTCTTCTGTCTCTTCCTGCCGTCCTCCCCTCCCCGACTTTCCTCTGTACTTGAAATAAATGCCTGCCCTTAGTATCTCTATTCCACTGCTCCTGCCATCTCTGCACCATCACTGTCCATATCAGGCTTTTTGCCTCTGCCTTGCTCATTGAAACTACAACATCAACATCCCCACTACTAAGTGCTTGTTTAGCCAGTACATCAACTGCCTTGTTCCCCTACACTCCCACAAGGGCTGGGACCCAAGTAAATCTTATCTGTATACCCATCTGTCTAATCCTGCCATGGATTTGTAGTAAATCATAAAGCAGGTCTTGTCTGCTACGTGAGCTAAAGGACTGCAGACTCATCAACACTGCACATGAATCAGAGCAAATAACTACTCTGTCTGGCTTAACTTCCTCCACCCACTGCAAGGCCAACAGTATGGCCATCAGCTCCGCCGTATATACAGCCAGATAATCTGTAATATGTTTCCTGACTGCCACCCCACACTCCTGCACTACAAATGCTGACCCAGTACATCCTGTCCTTGGATCTTTTGAACCATTTGTGTAAATGGCCATAAAATCCTGATACACAGTATCCAGACGTCTATTAAACAAATCAGATGGATCAACACCCTCCCGATCTTTCTGTAGTCTCTCCAACACTTATAGATCAACTACTGGAGGTGGGAGTAGCCATGGTGGGTTTACAGGAATAGCGACCGTTGGACTAAACTCCCTTCCAAACAGTCCCATCTCCCTCGCCTGGGTATTACCCAACCACCCAAAGCTTGTGTTCTGTCCCAGCATGCCTGTAAAATCCCTTTCGCAGGATGAGACACCCACTGTTCCAGTAGGTTGACCCAATAATGAATTGCCAGCTGCTGTCTCCTAATCTGCAATGGCATATCCCCCACCTCCACCTGTAGTGCAGGCACTAGTGATTCCTATGTTGTTGATGTGAAGAATATTTGTTGGTCTGTGGTGTGTAATGACGAGCAACCAGACGCTGCACTTGACACAGTTATGAAATAGCTTATCCCAGTTACTAATAAGCATGCACCCATTAAGAAAATGACTGCAAAAAGTGTTAAATTATTATAATAATTTAGAAATTATATGGTTGAGAGGCAAAAGAGATGGCTAATGTCTCCTGAGTGGTGCAGTGGTCTAAGGCACTGCATCACAGTGCTAGCTGTGCCACTAGAGATCCTGGTTCGAATCCAGGCTCTGTCGCAGCCGGCCGCGACCGGGAGACTCATGGGCGACGCACAATTGGCCCAGGGTAGGGGAGGGAATGGCCGGCAGGGATGTAGCTCAGTTGATAGAGCATGGCGTTTGCAACGCCAGGGTTGTGGGTTCGATTCCCACGGGGGACCAGTATGATTTTTTTTTAAAAAATAGAATATGTATTCACTAACTGTAAGTCGCTCTGGATAAGAGCGTCTGCTAAATGACTAAAATGTAAATGTCTAATAGGTCTGGCTGTACAACCGATTGGCAAACATACTGAAAATTGAGAAATCATGTGACTGAATAAAAAGAAGAAGAAACGACACTATGAAACAAAGATAAATGACATAAAGAATAATAGTAAAAAAAGCTTTGGAGCACGTTAAATCAATTTTTGGGTAAAAGGGCAAACATTCATTGAATCAGATGGCTCATTCATCACAAAACCCACTGATATTCGCAACTACTTTAATGATTTTTCATTAGCAAATTTAGGCATGACATGCCAGCAACAAACGCTGACACTACACATCCAAGTATATCGGACCAAATTATGAAAGACAAGCATTGTAATTTTGAATTCCGTAAAGTAAGTGTGGAAGAGCTGAAAAAAGTATTATTGTCGATCAACAATGATAAGCCACCGGGGTTATACCACAGTCGACTGCAGTTTCAAAACTACAATATTTTTCTGTAAGTGGCGCTAGGGGGCAGAAGAACAACGTGTGTAGGACAGGTAAAATAACTGAATCATTCGAGACTGGCTGAATAGAAGCCGGTTTGTGGATAAAAATATACCGAAATTATGTTTTAAATGTTCTAGCTAAGAATAAAAATGTACAGCCTTTTACAATGATTTTAGTCATCATTTTTCTTACCCATGTCCAAGAATCAGGATGGGATGAGCTGTAATTTCATCAGGCACTATCTAGGTATACCTACTATGGGTTTTTGGAAACGGGGCTTTCGTTGTCGAACAAAAATCATTTTCAACAAACAAGTGTCGCACTGTTGTGGACAACGGACTATTTTACTGTCCTTTCAAGGTTTTGATGTTCCATAATTTAATTGTCGCTAACTGAAACGGTAACCTGGGTTCGTGGAGTTGAGAGGGGGATAATAAAGAAAACCATGATAACGTCTGCCGGTAAGCAGTAACATAGCAAATGTCAGCGTTTTGGAAAACGGGAAAGATTGCTAGCTGGCTAACGGTAGCAAGCTAGCATCCATTGATTTAGCTGAGTCACATAGCTAACTGGCTAGCTAACTAGCTATCTACCCAGGTTACAAACGTTTAGCTAGCTAGATACTGTAAGTTAACTAACGTTAGCTAGTTACCTAACTGGCTAGATAATGTTGTTCCTATCATATTGTTTCATGTCTACAGTCGCCATTAACGTTAGTCGTTGGACAATGACGTTAGTTAGCTAGTTGGTTAGCTAATATAGCTAGGCAGTAAGCTGCAGCACATTTGTGCCCAGGCAAACTAGCTACTTTATAAAGTAATGTAGCTGGATCGAATCCCCGAGCCGACAAGGTAAACATCTGCCCCTGGTCAAACTCGGAAGGGAAAGGGGGATCTATAGTCACCTGTACAACTGAATGCATTAAACTGAAATGTGTTGATTAAGGCAGTCCCCCCGCACCTCTCTGATTCAGAGGGGTTGGGTTAAATGTGGAAGACACATTTCAGTTGAATGCATTCAGTTGTACAACTGCCTAGATATCCCCTTTCGAGTTTGACCTGTTTAGGCTTCACATGAAACTTGGCTGTGACAGTCACAAATGAGAGGGCGAACGTTAACGTTTTCTGTCTAACCTAGCTAGCTACGTTACATACACTGAAGTGCATCAGGGTACACACACGTATCAGGTTTTATCCATGATGTTGAAACTGACTACACATTCATTGATTTCAGCTGGAATCATCTCTCTGCTGGATGAGGAGGAGCCCCGGCTCAAGGTATCATAAACTTAAGCTTGTTATCCAGTGAGAATACACCAGTGGTCACCAACCCTGGACCTAGAGAAGACGAAAAGCTTTGTACAATAACATTAAAGCCCATAAGTAGCTAGTTAGTGGAAGCAGTTGTGTTAAGTGCTGGACACTGTATCTCCTGGACCAGGTTTGGTGACCACTAACATTCATGTTGACTTGGCAATGATTATCCTCAACTATTGTTTGCGTAAAGTGTGTCTAACATTGTTTTGGTTTTTTTGCTTGTAGGAGTTTGCTCTGCACAAGCTGAACTCCATTGTCAATGACTTCTGGGCTGAGATATCGGGATCTGTTGACAAAATGTACGTTTTAAAATAAGGAAATAAAGCTAAACATATTTGCATGGTCAGTTTAAAGTGGCAATTTTACGTTCGTTTTTTTTACACCAGCTTCAAACAGCTGAAACAACAATATTTTTGTTTATGGAAAATATTTTTCACAGCGTTTTCGGTGGTATGTTGATTCACTACACTATACTATCTTATTTTGCCACATAAACTGAAATGAGGCAAACTAGAGTTTTACCAACCAGGAAATGGCGGAGCGATTTCTGCATAGTGCAACTATAATTAGAATAAAACAATTACTTAAGGGAAAGTTTTGTTAAATGGCTTTATTTATAAACGTTGTTCTCTCCTCACAGTGAGGTCCTGTATGAAGATGAGACATTTCGGAGCAGGGCATTTGCTGCATTGGTGGCTTCCAAAGTGTTTTACCACCTCGGAGCGTTTGATGAGTCGTTGAACTACGCTCTGGGTGCAGGAGACCTTTTCAGTGTCACAGACGACTCTGAATATGTGGAGACCATTATCGGTGAGTGATGTCACAACTGCATGTTTTGGTATGCCCAAGTACACAATCAAATCAAATGTTATTTGTCACATACACATGTTTAGCAGATGTTATAGCGGGTGTAGCGAAATGCTTGTGCTTCTAGCTCCGACAGTGCAGTAATATCTAACAAGTAATATCTAACAATTTCACAACATATACCCAATACACACAAAACTAGTAAGGAATGGGATTTAAGAATATATACATATATGGACAAGCAATGACAGAGTGGCATGGACTAGGATACAGTAGAATATTATAGAATAGAATGCAGTATATACATATGAGATGAGTAGTGCAAGATATGTAAACATTATTAAAGTGACTAGTGTTCCATTTCTTAAAGTGGCCAGTGATTTCAAAAGGCAGCAGCAGCCTCTGTGCTAGTGATGGCTATTTAACAGTCTGATGGCCTTGAGATAGAAGCTGTTTTTCATTCTCTCGGTCCCAGCTTTGATGCACCTGTACTGACCTCGCCTTCTGGATGATAGCGGGGTGAACAGGCAGTGGCTCGGGTGGTTGATGTCCTTAATGATCTTTTTGGCCTTCCTGTGACATCGGGTGCTGTATGTGTCTTGGAGGGCGGGTAGTTTGCCCCCGGTAAATGCGTTCGGCAGACCGCACCACCCTCTGGAGAGCCCTGCTGTTGCGGGCGGTGCAGTTGCCGTACCAGGCAGTGATACAGCCCGACAAGATGCTCTCAATTGTGCATATGTAAAAGTTTGTGAGGGTTTTAGGTGCCAAGCCGAATTTCTTCAGCCTCCTGAGGTTGAAGAGGCTCTGTTGTGCCTTCTTCACCACACTGTCTGCGTTGGTGGACCATTTCAGTTTGTCAGTGATGTGTATGCCAAGGAACTTAAGCTTTCCATCTTCTCCACTGCGGTCCTGTCGATGTGGATAGGGGGGTGCACCCTCTGCTGTCTCCTTTGTTTTGTTGACGTTGAGTGAGAGGTTATTTTCCTGGCACCACACTCCCAGAGCCCTCACCACCTCCTTGTAGGCGGTCTCGTCATTGTTGGTAATCAAGCCTACTATTGTTGTGTCGTCTGGAAACTTGATGATTGAGTTGGAGGCGTGCTTGGCCACGTAGTCATGGGTGAACAGGGAGTACAGGAGGGGGCTGAGCACGCACCCTTGTGGGGCCCCAGTGTTGAGGATCAGCGAAGTGGAGATGTTGCTTCCTACCTTCACCACCTTGGGGCGGCCCGTCAAGAAGTCCAGGACCCAGTTGCACAGGGCGGGGTTCAGACCCAGGGCCTCGAGCTTAATGATGAGCTTGGAGGGTACTATGGTGTTGAATGCTGAGCTATAGTCAATGAACAGCAATCTTACATAGGTATTCCTCTTGTCCAGATGGGATAGGGCAGTGTGCAGTGCAATGGCGATTGCATCATCTGTGGATCTATTGGGGCGGTAAGCAAATTGAAGTGGGTCTAGGGTGACAGGTAAGGTAGAGGTGATATGATCCTTGACTAGTCTCTCAAAGCATTTCATGATGACAGAGGTGAGTGCTACAGGACAATAGTCATTTAGTTCAGTTACCTTTGCTTTCTTGGGTACAGGAACAATGGTGGCCATCTTGAAGCGTGTGGGAACAGCAGACTGGGAAAGGGAGAGATTGAATATGTTCATAAACACACCAGCCAGCTGGTCTGCGCATTCTCTGAGGATGCGGCTAGGGATGCCATCTGGGCCGGCAGCCTTGTGGGGGTTAACATGCTTAAATGTCTTAATCACGTCGGCCATGGAAAAGGAGAGGCCACACTCCTTGGTAGTGGGCCTTGTCAGTGGCACTGTGTTATCCTCAAAGCGGGCAAAGAAGGTGTTTAGCTTGTCTGGAAGCGAGATGTCGGTGTTGGTGACGTGGCTGGTTTTCCTTTTGTAGTCCGTGATTGTCTGTACTCCCTGCCACATACGTCTTGTGTCTGAGCCGTTGAATTGCGACTCCACTTTGTCTCTATACATGTTTTGCCAGTTTAATTGCCTTGCGGAGTGAGTAGCTACACTGTTTGTATTCTGCCATATTCCCAGTCACCTTGCCATGGTTGAATGTGGTGGTTCGCGCTTTCAGTTTTGGCGAATGCTGCCATCTATCCACGGTTTCTGGTTAGGGTAGGTTTTAATAGTCACAGTGGGCACAACATCACCTATACACTACCTGATAAACTGTCACCGTTTCAGTATATTTGTCTAAATTATTTTCGGAAGCTACCCGGATCATATCCCAGTCCGCGTGATCAAAACAATCTTGAAGCGTGGATTCCGATTGGTCAGACCAGAATCGTAATAATGACCTCAAGGGCTTCTAATGCTGATCTTTAGGCTTCCCTTTTGTTACATTACACATATTCACCTCAACAATGTTCAATTTATGTATACCCACTGTTGCTAATTTAGATATCAACACACTGATACCACAAATCATGGCAATTGATTATTCCACAGTGATATACAGTGCCTTTGGAAAGTATTCAGACCCCTTTACTTTTTCCACATTTTGTTAAGTTACAGCCTTTTTCTAAAATCGATTAAATAAATAAAAATCCTCAGCAATCTACACACAATACCCCATAATGACAAAGCGAAAACAGGTTTTTAGAAAATGTTGCACATTTGAGCTCAGGTGCATCCTGTTTCCATTGATCATCCTTGAGATGTTTCTACAATTTGATTGGAGTCCCCCTGTGGTAAATTCAATTGATTGGACATGATTTGGAAAGGCACATACCTGTCTATATAAGGTCCCACAGTTGACAGTGCATGTCAGAGCAAAAACCAAGCCATGAGGTCGAAGGAGTTGTCCGTAGAGCTCCGAGACAGGATTGTGTCGAGGCACAGATCTGGGGAAGGGTACCAAAACATTTTGGCAGTATTTGAAGGTCCCCAAGAACACAGTGTCCTCCATCATTCTTAAATGGAAGAAGTTTGGAACCACCAAGACTCTTCCTAGAGCTGGCCAAACTGGGGGAGAAGGGCCTTGGTCAGGGAGGTGACCAAGAACCCGATGGTCACTCTGACAGAGCTCCAGAGTTACTCTGTGGAGATGGGGGAACCTTCCAGAAGTACAACCATCTCTGCAGCTCTCCACCAAATCAGGCCTTTATGGTAGAGTGACCAGACGGAAGCCACTCCTCAGTAAAAAGCACATGACAGCCCGCTTGGAGTATGCCAAAAGGCACCTAAAGCAAAGCTGTCATCAAGGCAAAGGGTGGCTATTTGAAGAATCTCAAATATAAAATATTTTGATTTGTTTAACACTTTTTTTGGTTACTATATGATTCCATATGTGCTATTTCATAGTTTTGATGTCTTCACTATTATTCTAAAATGTAGAAAATGCTAAAAATAAAAACCCTTGAATGAGTAGGTGTCCAAACCTTTGATTGGTACTGTATGTAAATGTGATATTTCAGTTGTAATATTCTTTATTAATTAGCAAAAATTCAAAAAATCTGTTTTTGCTTTGTCATTATGGGGTATTGTGTGTAGATTGATGAGGGGAAAAAAACAATGTAAACAATTTTAGAATAAGGCTGTAACCTAACAACATTTGGAAAAAGTCAAGGGGTCTGAATACTTTCCGAAGGCACTTTACAGTAGTTCTTTGATGACTTCTGGTCTCTTCCCCCGTAGCCAAATGCATTGACCACTACACCAAGCAGCGGGTGGAGAACGCCGAGCTTCCTGAGGACGAGGAGAAGAAGAGCATCGACCCCCGGCTAGAGGGCATCGTCAACAAGATGTTCCTGCGTTGCCTAGGCGACCACAAGTACAAGCAGGCCATCGGCATCGCCCTGGAGACACGCCGCCTGGACATCTTTGAGAAGACTATCCTTGAATCGGTCAGTGGTTCCCGGGTCGTCTTTTGAACACGTTCTGTTTTGGTTCCACAGATTTTTAAATTTGGCGCCACTTCTACTTAATGTAATAAATTACAAAATGATTAGCTTAATGAAAATCCAGAGATCCATGACTTTTGGTTTAGTGTACATTTTATTGGAATGTTTTTATTGTGGTTTCAAACGTTTTATTTTTTTCAGTAACAACTTACAACATTTCATGTTGAAATCCTAACCCTCTTCTTTCTTCTTGTCTTGTACAGAACGATGTTAGTGGCCTACTGGCCTACAGCCTGAAGGTCTGCATGTCGCTGATGCAGAACAAGAAGTTCCGCAACGAGGTCCTCCGAGTGCTGGTCAAGCTCTACATGAATCTGGAGAAACCTGACTTCATCAACGTTTGCCAGGTAACAGGGAGAAAGGACACTTCAACTTGGGCTCTGATTTAAAAGAATATCCATTCAGCTGCCTGCAGTTTGGTGGTGCGTTGGTTCTCTGATTTCACCATCTGAAACAGGACCATCCTGACCCAGCGGAATTACATAGTAATTCAATAGCAAATTACTTTGAAAATAAAATAGTCACGTGCACACATTATTGTTAGGTGGTAGGTGAGAAACTCTGCATGATGAAATGAAAAGACCCACAAAATATTGTTCACCTTAATTGTAACAATGTTTCCGTCTGCGGTGGTAGATGTGCCCAAACCCACACGTGTTGCCAGCAGAGGCAGTCCCTTTGAGGCTGACTAGAGTCTGTTGCTCTTCATTCACCCCCACCTGAATCTCTTCGGTTACTGCAATTCAGCTTTTAGCTGCAAATGTGTACAATATAAAATAAATCCACCATACTAATACAAGGAAGTAACCATTTGACCACCATGCATCACACTCCAATTTAGTCTCTTTTCCTTCTCTTTCTCCTCCACAGTGCTTGATCTTCCTGGACGACCCACAGGCGGTGAGCGACATCCTGGAGAAGCTGGTGAAGGAAGACAACCTGCTGATGGCCTACCAGATCTGCTTCGACCTGTACGAGAGCGCCAGCCAGCAGTTCCTCTCCTCCGTCATCCAGAACCTGCGCACCGTGGGCACACCCATCCCCGCCGTGCCCGGATCCACCAACACGGGCACCGTGCCCATCCCAGACAAAGACAGGTGGGTGAGGGTGCAGTGACAGGGTGGGAGGGGTAGGTTGAGGAGAGGAAAAAGGGTTGGGGAAAGATATTAAGGGAAAATGGGAAGGAAATGTAGTAAGATCGCTTTAGGTAGAATATCTTGACACATCACAGGTAATTTATTGTGATACAAAGTTCATTTAGCCAATATGTTTTCTCCTTTGTCTCAGTGATGCTATGGAGACGGACGACAAGGCCGCAGACATTGTGAGTACCTCTACTTGGTGCTTCTCTGTGGCTGTGCAGAGCTGTTGGCAATTTTAAATAGTTGTTCTTGTCACCCAAAATAATGGATCTTCCTTTCCTCTGCTTGCGTAGAAGGACGAGCCTAAGGATCAGAACGCAAAGATGATCAAAATTCTCAGCGGAGAAATGGCCATCGAATTTCATCTGCAGTTCCTCATCCGGAACAACAACACAGACCTAATGATTCTCAAGAACACAAAGGTAAAGGATGCCAGTATGAGTATTAAACAGGCTACATATTGGATGTTAAATAGGCCTATGACATGTACTGCAATATAAAAAGGCTTTCACTCAAGTTTTTGTTGCTTTGTCTACCAGGATGCGGTCCGAAATTCAGTGTGCCACACAGCCACGGTCATAGCCAACTCCTTCATGCATACGGGGACTACAAGTGACCAGTTCCTCAGGTAGAGCCACTATGCTGTAACATCACCAGCTATAGCATAAACACATTGAGAATATCACCTTCACACTTGATAACATACTCTCCAGGAATTCACATTTTATATAGAAAAAAGTAATGTATCTTTACTTGTGATGGTGGTAATGGGGTACATTCTATTGGTGTGTGGCAGACCTGGCTTCTGAAATATTTTTGAAATAACGTGGCCGAAATCAACCACTTCTATTGGAAGTATTTCAAATAACTCCTATAAATAGGATGCTATTTGAAAAATACTTATTTCCAAATGCATTATTTAAAAATACTCCTAGGACCTGGGTTCAAATGCATGGGAGTACTTATTTGAATTTGAAAGTACTCTGTATTAAAGGACAAGTTTATTTCCAAATGCATTCCAATATGCATCCCCCCCCCCCCCCCCAATTTTTTTTTTTTAATACTTACTTTGAAATGTTTGTGAAAGTAATTTATATAATTGAAATAGTATTTGACTGAAGCCTGGTGTGAGGATATAAAGGGTCAATGCTGTGTTTGGCTGTGTGATGTGATTTTATTCATTATTTCAACAGAGAGAACTTGGAGTGGCTTGCAAGAGCCACCAACTGGGCCAAGTTCACAGCCACAGCCAGTCTTGGCGTCATTCACAAGGTAAACTTTTGCTGAAACAATTAAAAACATAAATGGATATCTGAGACATCTTTTGGTTTTCAGATTTTATATATAAAAATAATAATAATAACAACAACATATTTTCAGGGCCACGAGAAAGAGGCGCTGCAGTTGATGGCCACCTATTTGCCCAAAGACACCTCCCCTGGATCGGCCTACCAAGAGGGAGGCGGCCTGTACGCCCTCGGGCTAATCCACGCCAACCACGGGGGGGACATCATCGACTACCTGCTCAGCCAGCTGAAGAACGCCAGCAACGACGTGAGTGGCAACATGCAGACACGTCACATTTCCCCTTGCTCAATTCCAAATCAACCCATAGCCCCCCCTACCCCTTTGGTCACTTTAGATTTGATTGGATGTGTGTGTAAAGGCATCCGCATATTTCCCAGCCGAAGCAGTTCGGAAGAGTTTGTGCATATATTATAAAAACTTTGAGGACTCGTTTTCATGCACATTTTTTAAATTGAGAAATACTGAATCAAATATATTAGATGTATAATTGCGCGACTAAGATCTCTTCGGCAAAAACATCCAAATTAATGACAGGTTTCTTGAATTATCTTAGATTAATTCTGACTATTTTGAGGAAGTGTATACTGGCTACGGCGTCTCAAAATGGACAAACAGCACTATTGCCACTTTTTTCTTGTTTTTCAACTGAAGGTCTTTTAAGGGACTATGGGAACACACTCGTTCAGCGCCAGTCGAACTGAAGCATGCTGAAGCATTAAGCAATACGTAGATAATTCCACGAAGCCCATCAAAGGGACATCATGTCACATTTGAGTTGAATACAACGTTTTATTCGTGTCTGTGATGGCCATTTTGTTTGGTTTGCTTTGTTTCCTCCCACAGATTGTCCGTCACGGGGGAGGTCTGGGCCTGGGATTGGCTGCCTTGGGTACGGCCAGGCAGGATGTGTACGACCTGCTCAAGTCTAACCTGTACCAGGACGACGCAGTCACAGGTACACCACCTGTTGCAGTTCATATAAGGAAATCAGTAAATTGAAATAAATTAATTAGGCCCTAATCTATGGATTTCACATTATTGGGAATACAGATATGCATCTGTTGGTCACAGATACCTAATAAAAAAATGTAGGGGCGTGGATCAGAAAACCAGTCAGTATCTGGTGTGACCACCATTTGCCTCATGCAGTGCGACATCTCCTTCGCGTAGAGTTGATCATCAGGCTGTTGATTGTGAAATGGTATCCCACTCAGTTGCTGGATATTGGTGGGAACTGGAACATGCTTTTGTACATGTCGATCCAGAGCATCCCAAACATGCTCAATGGGTGACATCTCTGGTGAGTATGCAGGCCATGGAAGAACTGGGACATTTTCAGCTTCCAGGAATTGTGAACAGATCCTTGTGACATGGGGCTGTGTATTATCATGCTGAAACATGAGGTGATGGGGGCTGATGAATGGCACGACAATGGGCCTCAGGATCTCGTCACGGTATCTCTGTGCATTCAAATTGCCATCGATAAAATGCAATTGTGTTCGTTGTCTGTAGCTTATGCCTGCCCATATCATAACCCCACCGCCACCATGGGGCACTCAATGACCTCAGCAAACCGCTCGCCCACACGACACCATACACGTGGTCTGCAGTTGTGAGGCCATTTGGATGTACTACCAAATTCTCTAAAACGACGTTGGAGGCGGCTTATGGTAGAGATTTGAGCATTAAGTTATCTGGCAACAGCTCTGATGGACATTCTTGCAGTCAGCATGCCAATTGCGCTCTCCCTCAACTTGAGACATTGTGTTGTGTGACACAACTGCACATTTTAGAGTGGCTTTTTATTGTCCCCCAGCACAAGGTGCACCTGTGTAATGATCATGCTGTTTAATCAGCTTCTTGATATGCCACACCTGTCAGGTGGATGGATAATCTTGGCAAAGGATAAATGCTCACTAACCGGGATGTAAACAAATGTGTGAATACAATTTGAGAAAAATAAGCTTTCTTTGCATATGGAACATTTCTGGGATCTTTTATTTCAGCTCTTGAAACATGGGACAAACACTTTACATGTTGCATTAATTTTTTTGTTCAGTATGTCTCTGTAGCCCTTAGAGTGTAACATGGGATGTCAATTCCCCATTGGTAGGGGATTCAGAAAAGCATCTTGAAATATTTACATCTGTTGATATACAGTATGCTTACAACAAAAACTGCATTGCATGTGCAATTTATAAGAGATCGGAGATACTAGCAACTTGTTAGAAAATCAACACTGTGCTCCTATTGCCAGTTGTTCAGATTAGAAAGGACTTTTCTTTGGTGCCATCATGCGGCGCTCATGTTTTCCCCTCTGTTCCCAGGCGAGGCGGCGGGGCTGGCCCTGGGGCTGGTCATGCTGGGCTCCAAGTCGGCCCAGGCCATCGAGGACATGGTGGGCTACGCCCAGGAGACGCAGCACGAGAAGATCCTGCGCGGCCTGGCCGTGGGCATCGCCATGGTCATGTACGGACGCATGGAGGAGGCAGACACGCTCATCGAGAGCCTCTGCAGGGACAAGGTAACAGTCAGACTTGCATTCACACGCACAAGGGCTGACCCCGTTTAGACTTGGAATGCATTCACACGCACAAGGGCTGACCCCGTTTAGACTTGGAATGCATTCACACGCACAAGGGCTGACCCCATTTAGTCGATTGTTTGGTTGATAGGCTGTTGGTCGACCAGGATTTCTTTAGTCCAGCAGTCGCAATTATTTGTAGTTTTTTTTTCATGGTGCACAAGACGCCCGTCTGATTCACGCCTGTGTAAGTAAATAAAATAAATAAATATGCCATTTAGCAGACGCTTTTATCCAAAGCGACTTACAGTCATGCGTGCATACATTTTTTTGTGTATGGGTGGTCCCGGGGATCGAACCCACTACCTTGGCTTTACAAGCGCCGTGCTCTACCAGCTGAGCTACAGAGGACCACACTAGTCCATTGTGGAGGCAGTCATCACTCTAAGACGTGATTCTGAAATTGTATATGGTTATAGTATGTAAAAAATAATGGTGCAACACTAATACATCTAATATACTGTATAAGAAATGCTATTTGTCCCGCGTTGAATATGGTCGCTGTCTGTGGTTCTGAAACGTAATCTTCAGTGTGCCATAGAATTGGCACCTTTCCCTATGTTGCTATGTGCATATTAGCAAAATTAACCAGCATATTGGGATTGAGAACAATGCCTGAAGCCCTATTCGGACGGGATTAGTTTTACTGGGGGAGGTCAGGCAATGTAATTATGTGTACAAGCACAACACCACATCTGTCATATTAGGCCCTTCCGAATCTGCCATGTCAGTAATTTGTACATGGCAGGAGAGTAACAATTCCAGCCAGAATAACCTACTGTTTTTTGGCGAACTCCAAGGACCTCTGATAATACTAGTCCCGTTCGAATCAACATCCCTGTGTTTTGAGAGTTTGACAGGTGTTGCTCATGGTTTGAGCAAGAAAACAATAACTGATTGGATAAATTGAAGGAAGTGCTGCGCGTAGCCTATATGTGAAGTGCTGCGCGTAGCCTATATGTGAAGGGCCTTAATGTATTAACTTTCATATGTTTTGTGTGTATGGATTGAATATTGGCAAATACATCAGTAAAAAATATTGCGCTTAGTTAATGTAACCCTTGCTGTTAATAGATCGCAACGCAGCATACGACTGACCTAAACGTTTGAAAATGATAAGCTCACTTTTGCATCCATAGCCTTAAAACGCATCTCAAGTGCAAGGACGCTGTTTAGCTCACATTTGAAGGCTGGGGGGCATTTAGGATTTCTACGGCGGATCGCTTTAATTACATAACCAACGTTCTCTGGTAATACTAGTCCTGTGCGAATGGGTCTCTGCCTAATTGTCTAAGAAAATTGAGGAGAGAGCGAACCCCAACTTTTAATTAGGTCTATAATCAATAGCCTAACTGTTAAATGTACCTGGCTTTATAAACCATCCATAAACTGTATGTCTACAGAAATAAGACAGATCCTGCTTCTGTTGCCTGTTTGAGTGTTTGTTTAATAGCCTACTGATTCCGTGAGCACCAAGCCTCATGCAACGGCGAAATGTCGGATCAAGCAATTTCACAGATATGGCTGTTTTTAATCTTTGCTTTGCTGTAATACAGGCTGGTGTTACTTATACTTTATTTAGTGTTTACACTGTTCCAAACAGGCAGAAAAATATTGTAACCTAGCAGCACCTGTTTGTCACACACACACAATACTCACGCAAAGCTTGCTCCTATACCCTCCTTTTTCTTGATCTCCAGTAGTTTCCACAACTAAGTCAAATGTCTTCCACAGATCTGACCTCCCCTTTCCCTCCTGAGCAACCAGTAAACATTCACCCCTTTTTCAAGTTTCTTTTTCACGTCCCCCCCCGCATCCATTTTGCAGTCGACATTACCGTGTTCGGATTTGTTATAACCCATTTATTGACGTGATTATGATAGGCTATAGGTCAGGCCCTATTGTGTCGCGTACGATGCTTGCATGTTTCACGTAAAGAGAGCAAAGGGTTGAGGGAATGTTTTTTCCTAAACAAATTAGGGATTTCGGTAACAACTTTTCAGTCAGAAACAAGAAAAACTAAATGGCTGAAAGGTTGTTGCAGCTTCAGCACAATAATCACTTGCTGTGCTGTGGTGCCTTTTGGCTGCAGTAGGGAGGAGAGGGAGACGACGTGCGCCAGCCAGTCACCCAGGCACTCGCTGTCATTTTTATTAACACAGCGTGACGATCGGGCTCTTTCGTGAGTAATTTGTGTGTCTTTTTAATTATTTAATCAAACAGTGTGCTTATGAACACAAGCTCAGTTCATATGTAGTTGGGTTTTATTCAAACACATAGGGTGTGTCTGTCCTATATAATATGGAAAAAATAAGTTTAAACATTTCGACCAATTGATTGGTCGAAAGAACAGGACTACTCTCGGTCGACCAAGATATATTTTTAGTTGGGGACAGCCCTAACACACACTACTTCCACTATGCCTGGCGGTGATGGGTTCCACTATGCCTGGCGGTGATGGGTTCCACTATGCCTGGCGGGGATGGGTTCCACTATGCCTGGCGGGGATGGGTTCCACTATGCCTGGCGGTGATGGGTTCCACTATGCCTGGCGGTGATGGGTTCCACTATGCCTGGCGGTGATGGGTTCCAATATGCCTGGCGGTGATGGGTTCCACTATGCCTGGCGGTGATGGGTTCCACTATGCCTGGCGGGGATGGGTTCCACTATGCCTGGCGGTGATGGGTTCCACTATGCCTGGCGGTGATGGGTTCCACTATGCCTGGCGGGGATGGGTTCCACTATGCCTGGCGGGGATGGGTTCCACTATGCCTGGCGGTGATGGGTTCCACTATGCCTGGCGGTGATGGGTTCCACTATGCCTGGCGGTGATGGGTTCCACTATGCCTGATGCGGGGATGGGTTCCACTATGCCTGGAAGGGATGGGTTCCACTATGCCTGGCGGTGATGGGTTCCACTATGCCTGGCGGGGATGGGTTCCACTATGCCTGATGCGGGGATGGGTTCCACTATGCCTGGCGGGGATGGGTTCCACTATGCCTGGCGGGGATGGGTTCCACTATGCCTGATGCGGTGATGGGTTCCACTATGCCTGGCGGGGATGGGTTCCACTATGCCTGGCGGTGATGGGTTCCACTATGCCTGGCGGTGATGGGTTCCACTATGCCTGGCGGGGATGGGTTCCACTATGCCTGATGCGGTGATGGGTATATTACTTTTTACCACTTTTCATTGTAGGGTGCGGAAACTCGCTTAATACCGATATATTGACCTTCATTCCTTTTTTCCTTGGCTATGCACCCATGACTGTTAACCTTGTTGCCTATTGTGTGTGATTTTGCTTTTTTCCAGCCTGTAGTCATCTCCGTTTCAATTTTACTGCGACAGTGAACAGTGTCCTGAACAGTAGTATGAATTGTACATGCAGTACCCATACTTAAATGTTCTAGATGTCAAATAAGTGGTATACCTTGTTGACCCCACATTGTTGCCATGACTACCTACTGCTGCAGACTCTTGTCTCTTGGCTAAGGCTCTGTGTTCTGTCACTGTGTCTGTTCTAGGACCCCATCCTGCGCCGCTCTGGAATGTACACAGTGGGCATGGCCTACTGCGGCTCCGGGAACAACAAGGCCATCAGACGGCTGTTGCACGTGGCTGTAAGTATTCTCCTTCTCCTTCCTCACGCAAAACACCGACAACCAAGAATCAGAGTAGGGATAGCCAAGGTATTACGTATTGGAATTGCGAGGACGGTTATGACAGACAATAGTATACCTCACAGTAAATTAAAATGTGTTGGTATGTTAATCGCCATAATGAAAGTCTTTGGTTGTACAGGAAGCCATAATATATATATAATTTTTTTTGTGTCATTTAGCAGACACTCTTATCCAGAGCGACTTACAGTTAGTGAGTGCATACATAATTTTTTTATTTTTCATAAAAATTCTAACCAGGATCTCTAGTGGGCCTTAGACCACTGCGCCACTCGGGAGGATTCATTAATGTTATTGTTGCTGGGGAAGATGGTTGAGTTGGTATTCCTACAGATGGCATCCTGCACAAGCTAAAGATGCTGTGATATAAGAGCTGTTTATGAACCTAAGTATAGTAGACTCCTGAGTGGCGCAGTGGTCTAAGGCACTGCATCGCAGTGCTAACTGTGCCACTAGAGATCCTGGTTCGAATCCAGGCTCTGTCGCAGCCGGCCGCGACCGGGAGACTCATGGGCGGCGCACAATTGGCCCAGCGTCGTCCAGGGTAGGGGAGGGAATGGCCGGCAGGGATGTAGCTCAGTTGATAGAGCATGGCGTTTGCAACACCAGGGTTGTGGGTTCAATTCCCACGGGGGGCCAGTATAAAAAAATATGTGTAAGTCGCTCTGGATAAGAGCGTCTGCTAAATGACTAAAATGTAAATGTATAGGCTTTCCCGAAATCTTTGATATCTTGGCTGATTGGGAGTTTTGCATTTTGGTGTTTGGGCAGGAAAAGTATTATTATTGGATGTTATCTCCTCACCCTACTACGTTCTTTCTGCTATTAATACATTGTTGTCTACCTGTCAGGTAAGCGACGTGAACGATGATGTCAGAAGGGCAGCGGTAGAGTCCATTGGATTCATCATGTTCAGGTAAGGCCCTATGCTATCCCCTTTCCGGCCAGCAGAGGTCCCCCTACTTTCAGCGTCTTGGTCCACTGCTAGTCTCCTAGCCAAGCTAACTGATCAATCAGCCCCTACATGTATACACAGACGGCATTCCTCTCATAGCCTGGGCATAATTTCCAAATGCGTTTGGAGAATGTCAGTTTATGTAGTTTATTCATCCCGATCGTTAAAACAACTAAAACAAACAGTGAGATAGATTTCTTCCGCCTAGACCTCAGATAAATAGATGTGGCTTTTCCACTCCTGATTGCCACTGTGGCCGTTACCCATCTTTGGCCCTGAGGTTAACCCACGTTTCCACATTCCAAGAATTGGGTTTTCACAAGTCCCACAACATAGCCTGTGGAATTTTCACCCTGCATGGCTAAAGAATCGATGTTGTCTGAACACTGTTTTCGGTTTTAAGTAACCTAGGGCATGCAGTAGGGTTAACTTTTAGCCCAGATAGAGCTCTGGGCTGATCTGCGTTTTCTTATAATAATAATAATATGCCATTTACGCGGAATTGTTTATGTAAGTGCCAGGTTTGGGCTCAATTCAGAATTAAGTTGAGAATGCCTCATAAATTCAAATTCTTGAATTTGAATTGAAGTGGTAAACAGGATGCAGAATTGCAATTTGAATGAAAGGAAATAGAATAGAATTCAGTGAAATTCAAATTCCTCTTCTATATTAGGTGTAGTCTATACAAATATACATCTTGTTCATAAAACATCATCCATGTCATAATTTATATCTATCATATATGTATGTACAGTACCAGTCAAAAGTTTGTACACAACTACTCATTCAAGGGTTTTTCTTTATTTTTACTATTTTCTACATTGTAGAATAATAGTGAAGACATCAAAACTATGAAATAACACATGGAATCATGTAGTAACCAAAAAACTGTTAAACAAATCAAAATATATTTGAGATTCTTCAAATAGCCACCCTTTGCCTTGATGACAGCTTTGCACATTCTTGGCATTCTCTCAACCAGCTTCACCTGGAATGCTTTTCCAACAGTCTCGAAGGAGTTCCTACATATGCTCAGCACTTGTTGGCTGCTTTTCCTTCACTCTGCGGTCCGACTCATCCCAAACCATCTCAAATGCGACCCAACCAAATTCACATAGAAATGTGTGTTTTAGATCTGTCATTCTCGCTGAAAGCAAGTCTAAGTAGCTTGTTCTATGTGCACTATTTCTATGCTTCCCGTTCAGTTTCATTTTTTATTTTCAGTTTTGTACACCAGCTTCAAACAGCTGAAAATACATTATTTTGGGTTAGGTATTTCACAGCGGTTTAGATGGTACAATGATTCTCTATATTACACTTTGCTTGTTTTGTCACATAAACTGAAATTAAGCGAACTATTAGAATTTTAGCAACCAGGAAAAGGCGGAGCGATTTCTTCATATTGCACCTTTTTGAGTACCTTACTGTGATTTGTTTTAAATAAAAATGTTCAAAATTAGCTTCTTAGCAAAGAGCAATTTCTCAAGCAAGAATTTTGCTAGGACTGTCTGGGAGTGGTCTGAGTGGGGAGGGGAAAACAGAAAACGATCTGTTATTGGCAGAGCGGTTTGGAACTCTCTTTCTTATTTGTCTATTAACTAATTAACGCCTGGTGATGTCACCAGGCAGGCCAAAACTCCATGGCTCGGTAGTGTGATAGACGTGCTGCTGTGCGTGTGTCTGTGCGTTAGCCAGATGGCAGCCACAGATCGATAAGCAGGATTTTTGACACTTCCTCTGTCCTCAGAACGTAGTTACTTTCCACGACGAGGGAATGTTTGGCCTTGACATTCCAGGCAGTCTTTTCAAACAGCTCTTACACTAAAGGGCATATCATAATTTTCACAATTTCAGTGTTATTCCAACCTCCTAGTATGGAAATATATATGAAACACAGGAAAATCTTGTTTTTGAGTGCACTGGGCCTTTTTAAATTCTGTTCAATATAGGGAAGATACGAAATTTCCCAGAATGCATTAGTTTAACCCGCAAGTTGACCCTGAGGCCTTCAAAAAGAAGCCAAACAAATGAAATGGTCTGATAGTGAGAGCAATTGTCCCATAAGTTTTAAATGGGTTGTTAAGGTATGTAAACAGAAATAAAAGGTTTATAATGATGATGATCAGTAGTTCTAAGCTCATCAGGCTACACAGTCTGAGTAGTAATCTCCAAGAATCAATGGGTTTACATTATATCCAAAAAGTACATGTCCACAAAATCTTTGCACCTATATATATATATATATATATAAGGTAGGGTCTAATATAACTGCGTTGTTTGTTAAGAAAATATAATTGGCTATTCTAAGCACTAAGGTTAATATGGAACGTTGTTTCCGCAGAAAAGTGATATTATTTGGTATCTAGAAGTGTGACCTGTCATTCAATGAAACGCATGTTCTATGACTGATTGAATTAGATTCTACTTCCTGTCACTCAAATTCTACATCCTGTGGGGTGTGGCCAATTCAAATTCCAAGTCATGAGTTGAATGGGATTCAATTCCAAAATTCTGAATTGAGCCCAACCCTGTTAAGTGCTGGGTATCTATTGTCATTTGAAAAACCAACACAGTTAAATGTTTTGAAAGTGTGCTTAAGTTTCAGCAATGTGAGAATTTGTTTCATGTCCAAGTTAAATCTATGGGACATGAATAATCTTTGAACCACCCTTGTTTTGGTCTGTGCAATGGTTTTCGGTAGTCTTGTGTAATTAAGTGCAATTCATGATCAAAGATATTACACATTTTGAAGTGATTTTACTCTTCAGAAAGCCTAACCTACATCAAGCAGCTGCAAACTATCCCTCACTTTAATAGTGTTGGCACTCTTAAGTGATCCTGTGATTGGTTTGCGGAATATCAAAATGACATAATGATCAGCGTCTCCTCAAATGGACGACAGAATTTAGATGCACTTTTAGCTGAGAGGATATAATTACTTCTTGGCTCCTTACAGGTAGTTCAGTGTCTTGAGGACGTTGGCTACATGTCGTCCTCCCGAGTCACACATAATTATTTTCGGTCTGTTTACGGAGGCTCATCATTCATTCTCTGACGTGAATTTACCCATCAGGCAACACTGCAGCATTAAACAGCATCAGGCAGCACTGCAGCATTAAACGGCACTGGGCCAAGCGAAGGAATATGGGGGGGACTATTTTAAGCCCAAAAAAGGCTATGCGATATTGCCATGATCAATTGGCTGTTAGATAAACCTTGTGTAAGTCCTTCCTGTGTTTAGAGATCCTCCTGAGCGGCAACAATTCAGCCGAGCCCTCACTCCCCCATCGCTTCCAGGCCCCCTTACAGTCTTGGGAAACCAGGACGTGGTGCTCAGAGCTGCTGTCTCTGAGTGGGTCAAAGGTCAAAGGTCTCTCGCTCCCCAACTGCTCCGAAAGGCCATGGGTATATTCCTCCCCACCGACTTGTCTCATGATTGCAGAAATATGCATTGGAAGTTGTATATGAACCGAACATGGGCTCTTGCAGTACGTTTCTGTCCACATGGTACACCCTGGGGACTTCCTATTACTATTATTATAGATTTTATGCTGTGGACTCCCTTTTAATTTGTTACACTCAACATAGAAATCCCTTTTTGGTGTATTATGTAAATTGTTTTTGAGTTGTAACGTCACTTAATTCACTGGTACGGAGAATGAATCAAAATGCTCTCCTTTTTTATGGCCACTCATAAAGCAATCGTGACCCTACGCACTTACTTTCAGGATTCAGCCTCCGCGTATTCACTGTTTGTGACTATGAACTGCAAGCGCAGTGGTTTATGGTGTGTTTACTTTGGCTCCCGTGTCCAGTTAGCTTTGCTTCCTTCGTTACCACCCCATCAAGGAGACACTATGTAAACTCTGATGAAAGTGAAACACTAGATCGGTCGTTGCGGCCACAAAACATTTTCAGGGACAAAGACAACGTGTTAAAATAAAGGTGACTTGGTCTGTAGTTACATCTGCATTTCAAGACCTATTAAGAACTGTAAAAAAAAAAAAAAAGACAGTTTGGGCTTTTCTTTAAGCCAAGCACAGTTTTGTACATTTATAAACCATCACATATCCATCCGTAGGCTGTACATTTTATAAACCATCACATATCCATCCGTAGGCTGTACATTGATAAACCATCACATATCCATCCGTAGGCTGTACATTGATAAACCATCACATATCCATCCGTAGGCTGTACATTTATAAACCATCACATATCCATCCGTAGGCTGTACATTGATAAACCATCACATATCCATCCGTAGGCTGTACATTGATAAACCATCACATATCCATCCGTAGGCTATACATTGATAAACCATCACATATCCATCCGTAGGCTGTACATTTATAAACCATCACATATCCATCCGTAGGCTGTACATTTATAAACCATCACATATCCAGCCGTAGGCTGTACATTTATAAACCATCACATATCCATCCGTAGGCTGTACATTTATAAACCATCACATATCCATCCGTAGGCTGTACATTGATAAACCATCACATATCCATCCGTAGGCTGTACATTTAGTTTTTGACAAGCTTCCCATTTGCAAAGGTTTTGTCTATGTTGCATTTACATATAATAATCCACTTGGATGTTATAACACTTTGGGAAAATAGAATTTGTGACTTTATAACAAATCTGTTCACGGTTATAAAAGCACTTACCAATACATTGCAGTTAAAATGGGTGGCATTTATAAAGTGTATTCTTCAGAACTCTGTGTGATGTGGAGGGCTGAACGTGTAGTTTTATATGGGAGTGAGTGTTTGTCCTCTCAATAGGTAAGCATGTCATCTCCCCCATGGGAATTGTCCATAGCAGAATACCAAATAGCCCAAGGTGACAGGAGTAGCATGGGAATACACATTGTATCCACTGAGAGAGTTTCCAGACAGTCGTATGTCGTCATTCCTTACATATCTGTCTGGCGGCCTCGTTAAGGACAATCCGACCTGAGCTTTGTCGGGTCTTTTTATTGAGGGTAACTTATCTCGACGCACCTATTTGCTCTCTCATTTTACTCATAATGTTCAGCAATCTCTGTACAGACTCTGAGGTCCTCTTCTTTCTGGCCAAAGTGTTTGACAGAGATGGGCATCTCCTTTCGTTTCGCCCTTGTGAGCACACAGTGTCTTCTTTTAATAGCACCGAATCCACAAAAGTGATGCTCATGGGAAGGTGTCTTGTCACCTGAACCCCTGGACAACTCAAGCCTGGTCCGTCTTTTACACATGACTTTCTGGTTCCAATTATTTCCCTTTTTTTGCAGACTTAATTTTTCTGAAAGCACTACACATAACTGACATGCTCTTCGGGTTTGCAATCCTCATTCTCTGTAAGGAGCAGGGTGTCCAGTACAACGCTAGCGGAGGACTGCATGTGTGCTTGCCGTCGCCTCAGCGGGCTCTGATAGCTCACCGTCCCGATGCCGTTCATCCCCCGCTTCATGAACAGCTTAGAGTTCTCCGCCACAGATGAATGGAAGGAGATCCGTGTCAGATTCCTGCAGCCATGCTGTTCCCTAGTTTGCCTGGCTGGCCTGTTAGTAGTGGTGCTGCTGTAGTTGCAGGTGATGTAGCGTGTGAAGGCCTGGCGGAAGGTCTTGTTGAAGAGGGTGTAGACCAGCGGGTTGATACCCGATGACACGTAGCCCACCCACACGAAGATCTCCATCAGACGGCCGATCACGTTGACGTCGCAGCTGGCGCAAAGCACAGAGGTGACGTTGGTGATGAAAAACGGGCACCACATGACCACGAACAGAAGGAAGACGATCCCCAGCACCTTGGAGGCTCGCTGCTCATTGGTCAGGTTCTGCATGGACTTCTTGCCCATGGTGGACATGCGGCGGATGGGGATCTCGTCACCCGTGATGGGGTTGGCGGGAGCAATGGATTTTCCCGGCGGTTTCTCAGTTGTGGGAGAGGCCACGGACTGCTCCCTCTGGAAGACTGAGGACACGGTTGGGCGAGTGAAGCGTTGGGTCACCTTTGACCTGAGCAGAAAGGCTTTCTTGCGCAGCACCTGGATGGTGAGCAGGTAGATGATCATCATGATAGTTAAAGGGATGAAAAAAGCTGTCATGGAGCCAAACATGATAAATTCTCTGAAGCTGTCTGGTTTCAGGAGGCAGGTGTGGTTGCTGTTAAAGGTGACATTGTTTGGAAGATGGTAGTTTCTCAGCCCCTTGATGGGAATGGGAATTGCGATACCTGTGTGAGAGAGAGAGAGAGAGAGGTTTGGTCAGTCAAATCATCAATCCAAACTTGGCTGTCTACAGTGTTAGATGGAAAGACTAATACTTGGTTGTTTTGGGAGTAGATACAGGATCTTCTCACAGCCTAGTTTCCCACAGTGGTCACTTTATGCTGCTTTGTTTTTGCATTTTATTGTTGGACATGAAATCTTCACATCTGCTTTTCCTTTTGATGTTGCCAGAGTATAAAACTGTTTTAAAGCTTCAAGCTTTCACGACTGAGGACAGCGGAGGTAGCGCAAAGGGTAAGGAAGAACAACTTCGTTCTGTGACTTCTGGAAGTTCTCATTCTTTGCTTAAAAATCTAATAAACGAACCATATATTGCCAGCTATAATACAGTGACAGTGAACACTACACCCTGGACGAAGAGACTCTTCTACTGTCGTGGCGTCTAAGTGCTGCTCGCGTAACTCTTAAGCAATCATCTGGTTTTGCTCAGGAAAATAAAGTAAATGTGTAGAACCTAGTCCTGAGTGAAAACTGGGAGCGTCCTGTTGTGGAGGAGTCTGAACGCTCTATGAATACCATTAACCTGCAAGTCTGCATTTCGTTGGACGGTGTATACCATGTGTGTCCTGTATATGCGACTAATAAAGCTTTAAACTTGATTAATACCAGGCTGAACTCTGCCAAGTCCTCACACCAGTCTCCCAAATGCTTCAGCCAGAGGAACAAGTCATGGCTAACGATTGTTAACGAGCATAGGGGTGTTTAATTTCCTTTCATACCGGGAAGCTAATATATAACGGATAACATATCATTAAAAGCAAACCAGTGTGCTTATTTACCAAGGGTTCACTGGCCAGTCATCAACAATACAGACTCGGGCAGTGGACGCTGAAATAATAAGAAGACATTCGATCAGGAAAATAAAACGATGTTTATGTCTCAAACTGTCTTGTTGGACTGTGTCAAATAACCCATTTGGGTATAGGCTTAACATTGGGCCAAATATGGGGAACCGGTTTGAGTCTGACATTCCCTCGTATGAAACATGCTCTGTGTGAAGAGGATTCCAGTGGTTCAGCTGCCCCATCTCCACCTCGTTTATGGTCTAAGATGAGGGCCTTAGCTTTATCCCCTGGCCCTCATCCTCTCTTCAGTCTTTATCCCATGGCCCTCATCCTCTCTTCAGTCTTTATCCCATGGCCCTCATCCTCTCTTCAGTCTTTATCCCCTGGCCCTCATCCTCTCTTCAGTCTTTATCCCCTGGCCCTCATCCTCTCTTCAGTCTTTATCCCCTGGCCCTCATCCTCTCTTCAGTCTTTATCCCATGGCCCTCATCCTCTCTTCAGTCTTTATCCCCTGGCCCTCATCCTCTCTTCAGTCTTTATCCCCTGGCCCTCATCCTCTCTTCAGTCTTTATCCCCTGGCCCTCATCCTCTCTTCAGTCTTTATCCCCTGGCCCTCATCCTCTCTTCAGTCTTTATCCCATGGCCCTCATCCTCTCTTCAGTCTTTATCCCATGGCCCTCATCCTCTCTTCAGTCTTTATCCCATGGCCCTCATCCTCTCTTCAGTCTTTATCCCCTGGCCCTCATCCTCTCTTCAGTCTTTATCCCCTGGCCCTCATCCTCTCTTCAGTCTTTATCCCCTGGCCCTCATCCTCTCTTCAGTCTTTATCCCCTGGCCCTCATCCTCTCTTCAGTCTTTATCCCCTGGCCCTCATCCTCTCTTCAGTCTTTATCCCCTGGCCCTCATCCTCTCTTCAGTCTTTATCCCATGGCCCTCATCCTCTCTTCAGTCTTTATCCCATGGCCCTCATCCTCTCTTCAGTCTTTATCCCCTGGCCCTCATCCTCTCTTCAGTCTTTATCCCCTGGCCCTCATCCTCTCTTCAGTCTTTATCCCCTGGCCCTCATCCTCTCTTCAGTCTTTATCCCCTGGCCCTCATCCTCTCTTCAGTCTTTATCCCCTGGCCCTCATCCTCTCTTCAGTCTTTATCCCCTGGCCCTCATCCTCTCTTCAGTCTTTATCCCCTGGCCCTCATCCTCTCTTCAGTCTTTATCCCCTGGCCCTCATCCTCTCTTCAGTCTTTATCCCATGGCCCTCATCCTCTCTTCAGTCTTTATCCCATGGCCCTCATCCTCTCTTCAGTCTTTATCCCATGGCCCTCATCCTCTCTTCAGTCCAAATGTCCTTTTGTCTCGTAGCCTAATTTTACTGAAAATACCAGAGGCTCTTTAGGGTTGCTTTTCTATTCAGTTTTGTAAAATTGCGGATTCCTATCTGTTCTGCAGTGCACATTGATGTTTATTGTGAAGAGTAAAATGGTTACTGGTCCAGGAGTCCTGAAATATGGTTGTAGTTTGAATGCTTGGTTTGTCTTACTTTTACATTTTAGTCATTTAGCAGACGCTCTTATCCAGAGCGACTTACAGGCACAATTAGGGTTAAGTGCCTTGCTCAAGGGCACATCGACAGATTTTTCACCTAGTCGGCTCGGGGATTAGAACCAGCGACCTTTCGGTTACTGGCACAACGCTCTTAACCACTAAGCTACCTGCCGTCTTGAATGTTATTTTGGCTGAAAAACGTTTCTGGAATAAAAATATGTGATCCATAGTGTTGCAGCAACATTTTTAAAGCCGCTGCACTGCTCAGAGATAGGCTGCATATTTTGCAATTGTAATCCTTGTGTTGTGTCACTACGCTTTTTACAAGGGCAGTGATGTGAAATAATTACCTTCCTGGGGTCATACTCTCAATCATTTAACCTCACTTTTTAATTTTATGCTATTTTTGTGTAAATCTCTCTGGCTCATTAACTGGGTTTTCCCACAGGTCCCCTTGACTGCTACCACTCTGATGCGCTGTTACTCTTTACGAAGTGTTATAGTGGCGGGTATAGTTTTAAGGGAGGTACTGTATGTAAACGTTTTATATAGCTTTTGCTTTTATTGCATCCGGCTTTCTTTTCTGACCATAAACCAGGCACGTCACATCACAGACGCTAAGGAATTGAACTGCAATGACATAGCTTAAAGAAAGTTGTTCAAATGAACACTTTGGAGACATTGCGGAATGCTCCTGATATCAACACAGGACCAAAAACACAGAGCAGCTTACCAATAGATATGAGCCACACCACCGCTATCTTGGCCATGGCTTTGGCCCTGGACTTATACTGGCTGTGCTGAATGGGCTTCTTGATGGCGATGTAGCGGTCCAGTGAGATGGCACACAGGTGCATGATGGACGCTGTGGAGAACAGGACGTCCAGGAAGAGCCAGATTGGGCAGAGAAACTCTGGAAGAGGCCACCCGGAATCTGAGAAACAGACAGACGATGGAAAGCATGGGATTGTTAGCTGCTCTCATAGGCCAATACGGAACCATTTTAAGATTAAAACTATGCCTTTCTAGACAAATTCTCAAACTTGATTACTGTGGTGCTAAATCTTTTTAATGTTTTCACCCTGAGATAAGCCTAATTGAATTTGGATTTCAGTGACTAAGTCATTATAAACAGGATAGTAATAAGTTACTTGAATGGCTATCTACACTGAACAAAAATATAAAAGTGTTGATCCCATGTTTCATAAGATGAAATAAAAGATCCCAGAAATGTTCCGTATGCACAAAAATGCTATTTCTCTCAATTTTGTGCACAAATTTGTTTACATCCCTGTTAGTGAGCATTTTCTCCTTTGCCAAGATAATCCATCCACCTGACAGGTTTGGCATATCAAGAAGCTGATTAAACAGCATGATCATTACACAGGTGCACCTTGTGCTGGGGACAATAAAAGGCCACTAAAATGTGCAGTTTTGTCACAACACAATGCCACAGATGTCTCAAGTTTTGAGGGAGCGCGCAATTGGCATGCTGACTGCAAGAATGTCCATCAGAGCTGTTGCCAGAGAATTTAATGTTCATTTCTCTACCATGAGCCGCCTCCAGCGTCGTTTTAGAGAATTTGGCAGTATGTCCAACCGGCCTCACAACCACAGACCACGTGTAACCACGCCAGCCTAGGACCTCCACATCCGGCTTCTTCACCTGCGGGATTGTCTGAGACCAGCCACCTGGGCAACTGATGAAACGGGAGTATTTCTGTCTGTAATAAAGCCCTTTTGTGGGGAAAACTCATTCTGATTGACTGGGCCTGGCTCCCCCAGTGGGTGGGCCTATGCCCTCCCAGGCCCACCCATGGCTGCGCCCCTGCCCAGTCATGTGAAATCCATAGATTAGGGCCTAATTCATTTATTTCAATTGACAGATATTTTCTCATATGAATTGTAACTCAGTAAAATTGTTGAAATTGTTGCATGTTGCGTTTTATAATTTCAAGGACTCTGCGTGGGCTTGTATGTGTAGGAGGCAAATAGAAATTTGTCAAAGATGCCCAAATAAAAGTGGAAATCTGGGAAGTGTGAAGATGTTCGACATTCAGTCATGCCAGTTCTCTTACTTTAGTGATGCAGGTGTTTTATGTTTTTAATTCCTGAGGAGGAAGTAGCCCGTTTTGAAAATGGGACTAATGGGACATTCTATATAGAGCTTGTGTTGTGGATACACCAGTGATGCCACCAGCATTGGGGAGATTCACTTCAATAGCTAATGATTAAAACCAGCTCTGATGTAGGGAATTGGCTATTTTAGTAAATAATTAATTTACTGCAGAGAAATGCTTCTTAGGACTATGTATGGAGCTGAATGCGCTATGTTCTTGATGTAGATGTGTTCAGACCCCTTCTCACCAGACGTGTTTGTTTATTTTGGGTCCCAGGCGTGAAATTGGCGCATAATTGGGCTGGATTGTGTCCCATTTCACATTAGCATTGTAAAATGTGCTGTTGGAAAGGTTCTTGATTGATTTTCTTGTTAACTTGTTTTGCTGATGGCTTGTATTTCATAATTCAAACATTAGTGGATATGTTTGTTTTTATATACAAGTATTACTTGTAATATAATATAATAAATGGGCTTTTGAACACATTGTTATCTAAGCACAATATTTTAGTGTTCTCCCTTCTACATGTTTTATTGGGGTCAACTGCGCACCATTTCATGGGCTTTGTTCAGCGCCACGTCTACTGAGCACCATTTCAGGGGCTTTGTTCAGCGCCACGTCTACTGAGCACCATTTCATGGGCTTTGTTCAGCTCCACGTCTACTGAGCACCATTTCAGGGGCTTTGTTCAGCTCCACGTCTACTGAGCACCATTTCAGGGGCTTTGTTCAGCGCCACGTCTACTGAGCACCATTTCAGGGGATTTGTTCAGCGCCACGTCTACTGAGCACCATTTCAGGGGCTTTGTTCAGCGCCACGTCTACTGAGCACCATTTTAGGGGGCTTTGTTCAGCGCCACGTCTACTGAGCACCATTTCAGGGGCTTTGTTCAGCGCCACGTCTACTGAGCACCATTTCAGGGGCTTTGTTCAGCGCCACGTCTACTGAGCACCATTTCAGGGGCTTTGTTCAGCGCCACGTCTACTGAGCACCATTTCAGGGGCTTTGTTCAGCGCCACGTCTACTGAGCACCATTTCAGGGGCTTTGTTCAGCGCCACGTCTACTGAGCACCATTTCAGGGGCTTTGTTCAGCGCCACGTCTACTGAGCACCATTTCAGGGGCTTTGTTCAGCGCCACGTCTACTGAGCACCATTTCAGGGGCTTTGTTCAGCGCCACGTCTACTGAGCACCATTTTCAGGGGCTTTGTTCAGCGCCACGTCTACTGAGCACCATTTTCAGGGGCTTTGTTCAGCGCCACGTCTACTGAGCACCATTTCAGAGGCTTTGTTCAGCGCCACGTCTACTGAGCACCATTTCAGGGGCTTTGTTCAGCGCCACGTCTACTGAGCACCATTTCAGGGGCTTTGTTCAGCGCCACGTCTACTGAGCACCATTTCAGGGGCTTTGTTCAGCGCCACGTCTACTGAGCACCATTTCAGGGGCTTTGTTCAGCTCCACGCACCACTTGCCCTTTTCTCCTTTTTTCATTTCCCGAAATATTTTCAGTGGGATATTTAAATAAACTTTGATAGGTAGGTTACTTCTTAAGAGTATATTTTTGTGGGCCCTTTTGTAATTGCTGTCATCTGTCTACTTAACATGGGCAGAGATTTTCTATTTTTTTCCTATGGGAATAAGCTCATACTCAACTAATTATACATGGGATGATAGTGTGCTTAGACCAGATTTAAAAAAAAATCTGTCTGCTGGTAACGTTTCTGATGTATAAGTGTTGCCAAGGCTACAGAGGTGTCCATCCAAGGCCACATTTCTAAGACAAACTTGTGAAGTCATTGCAGTGGACCAGCTTTGAGAGTGAGAGAGATGCAGAGAGAGGGAGATGGAGAGAGAGAGAGAATTCTTTGAAAACAGAGCTACCAACCTCTAGGGTGAGGTCACCATTCCAAAGTGGGGGAAAGGCCAGTTTGGACTCAAATAAAAACAAAGCTGAAAATGCTGTCTTGCTGTGTCTGAGTAGTATTATTGTCATTATGATAATCATTATTGTTGCTTACTTTAGAAAATGTCCCCGTTCCAGCAAATACCGGGGTGTAAACGATTTGACCTGAGCCGTTGACGTCTGTCAAACTCTGATTATACAAGACGAGCACACAGTTCTGAGGGGCCTTCTTACTTTATATGGGAATTATTTTGTTATTCTCTTTGAGTGCGTCTGTAAACGCATCCTAAATCTGGTCAAAGCTGATCTGGTTATCAAAAATTGTTTTATGATCTTTCTGTATGATATTGATCAGGGGTGTCTCACTCATTATGAAGGTTTTTGGTTTTTCCTTTAAGACCTAGAAAACCAGGTGAGGGGAGTTCCTTACTAATTGGTGACCTTAATTCAACAATTAAGTACAAGGGTGGAGAGAACCCGCAGACACTCGGCCCTCCGTGGAATGAGTTTGACACGTGAGGGGGAAAAAGTATTTGATCCCCTGCTGATTTTGTACGTGTGCCCACTGACAGACATGATCAGTCTATAATTTTTAATGGTAGGTTTATTTGAACAGTGAGAGACAGAATAACAACAACAAAAAATCCAGAAAAACGCATGTCAAAAATGTTATAAATTGATTTGCATTTTAATGAGGGAAATAAGTATATGACCCCCTCTCAATCAGAAAGATTTCTGTCTCCCAGGTGTCTTTTGTACAGGTAACGAGCTGAGATTAGGAGCACACTCTTAAAGGGAGTGCTCCTAATCTCAGTTTGTTACCTGTATAAAAGACACCTGTCCACAGAAGCAATCAATCAATCAGATTCCAAACTCTCCACCATGGCCAAGACCAAAGAGCTCTCCAAGGATGTCAGGGACAAGATTGTAGACCTACACAAGGCTGGATTGGGCTACAAGACCATCGCCAAGCAGCTTGGTGAGAAGGTGACAACAAGTTGGTGCGATTATTCGCAAATAGAAGAAACACAAAAGAACTGTCAATCTCCCTCGGCCTGGGGCTCCATGCAAGATCTCACCTCGTGGAGTTGCAATGATCATGAGAACGGTGAGGAATCAGCCCAGAACTACACGGGAGGATCTTGTCAATGATCTCAAGGCAGCTGGGACCATAGTCACCAAGAAAACAATTGGTAACACACTACGCCGTGAAGGACTGAAATCCTGCAGCGCCCGCAAGGTCCCCCTGCTCAAGAAAGCAGATATACAGGCCCGTCTGAAGTTTGCCAATGAACATCTGAATGATTCAGATGAGAACTGGGTGAAAGTGTTGTGGTCAGATGAGACCAAAATCGAGCTCTTTGGCATCAACTCAACTCGCCGTGTTTGGAGGAGGAGGAATGCTGCCTATGACCCCAAGAACACCATCCCCACCGTCAAACATGGAGGTGGAAACATTATGCTTTGGGGGTGTTTTTCTGCTAAGGGGACAGGACAACTTCACCGCATCAAATCTTGGGTGAGAACCTCCTTCCCTCAGCCAGGGCATTGAAAATGGGTTGTGGATGGGTATTCCAGCATGACAATGACCCAAAACACACGGCCAAGGCAACAAAGGAGTGGCTCAAGAAGAAGCACATTAAGGTCCTGGAGTGGCCTAGCCAGTCTCCAGACCTTAATCCCATAGAAAATCTGTGGAGGGAGCTGAAGGTTCGAGTTGCCAAACGTCAGGCTCGAAACCTTAATGACTTGGAGAAGATCTGCAAAGAGGAGTGGGACAAAATCCCTCCTGAGATGTGTGCAAACCTGGTGGCCAACTACAAGAAACGTCTGACCTCTGTGATTGCCAACAAGGGTTTTGCCACCAAGTACTAAGTCATGTTTTGCAGAGGGGTCAAATACTTATTTCCCTCATTAAAATGCAAATCAATTTATAACATTTTTGTCATGCGTTTTTCTGGATTTTTTTGTTGTTATTCTGTCTCTCACTGTTCAAATAAACCTATCATTAAAATTATATACTGATCATGTCTTTGTCAGTGGGCAAACGTACAAAATCAGCAGGGGATCAAATACTTAATTCCCTAACTGTGTGTGTGTGTTTTTTATTTATTTTTTTACACTGTTTGTATTTAGGTGACCCGAAAAAACGCTTAGGCGACCCGCCCAAGGATTACAATGGTAGAAAAATCCCTGCTGTCATTTTTACATTTTAGTCATTTAGCAGACGCTCTTATCCAGAGCGACTTACATACATTTTCATACTGGCCCCCCGTGTGAAACGAACCCACAACCCTGGCGTTGCAAGCGCCATGCTCTACCAACTGAGCTACAGGGGACTACGATAGCGTTCAATAATTAATCAATTATCAGTTCTTGTGGCTAACAGGTCAAACATTCCACAAAAAATGAACAAGTCACTCTGAAAAAAGTAATTACAACTCTTCGGTCAGTAAAAGAGTTGTTCAAAAAGAACGAAAACGTTCGAACTGCACATCAGTAGTTTTGAGGCAATAACTACTCGCGGTTAGTCTGAAATGTCTCCCGCAGCCAGGGTTTGGGATGGAGAGGAGAGATTTATCCGGGCAGACGCAGAAGAAAGTGGATAAACGGTCAAAAACGGAATTGCTATTGCTTTCTCTACGTTTATTTTAAGCAAATATAGTTGTTGTGGTTTATTTGGAATGTAGAGTCTAGGGTTTAATGGTAGTGGTGTATTAGCAATGACATGTCGCCGTCCTCTGGGAAATTTCAGGTGGTATTTGGATGTTAGCACTGATCCCCTCTCTCGCGGTTTGCCTGTTCTTAGCGCCGCCGGCCTGGTTGTACACGGGCCGTAACTGGCCCACCCTGCCGAGTGGCTGTAAAGGCTCAACGTGAAGCACTGAACTCTGTTTATGTCCCCCCCCCCCGGCTGTGTGCTCAGTCTCCAGCCAGTAGAGAAATGACAGCTGCCCCTGCACAAACGTACCGTGCGTCCATTCACACATTCAGACATGGAGCTCTGTGCGAATGTACATGTGCACACACACACAGCCCCCCTCCCTCTGAACATGGGCTACTGCTCTTCAGAAGCCTCTGGCTGTTATTTATGTGATCACATGGCCTTGACTTTGATGATCCCCTCCTTTCCCTCCGTCTAGGCCCGATGGACATCCATTAAGATTATCCCCTCCTTTCCCTGCCAAGCACAGGCGAGGTTGTGTGTATGTGTGTCACAGGACCGTTTACTCCAACAGAGTTAATGAGGAGTAGTGGCTCAGCTAAAAAAATTCTGCGTCAGGAAAAAGCAGACTCTGCTAGAGAGGGGGTGTTTAATTCTGCACTTTGAAGCACAGCTGCATTTGTAAAGCTATGCCACTTAGTGGAATCGAATGCAAATGTTTTTCCAGTTCGCTCTTGTATATATTTTTTATTTTCCCCTCGTGACCTAAGTGAATGAGTGTGCGAGCTGAGGGAGAGATTGGTTTGTGATTGGAAAGTCATGCAGAAATTGGGTCGTCATGATCATTGGTACCTGATGGGGCTGTGCCTCTTCTGTGATTACACAGCCAAAGGGAAGTACCTTGTTTATTGTCCACTCTCTTGTGTTTTTGCCATCTGCTATAAACTGTTTATACTGTAGCTGGCGGAGATTCAGCAGGATCTCTCATGGTGTTTTTTTTTTTTTTTTTAACTGCTGTTTTTCAATTATTGTCAATATGCATGCTTACGGTTGTTCAGTTAACAAAATAAGGCGGCAATTCTTGTCGTCATCGAATGAGTCTACTAGATCCAATTTAAATGTTTTGGCTACCTACATTTACATTTACGTCATTTAGCAGACGCTGTTATCCAGAGCGACTTACAAATTGGACTACTGTGGTGGATTTCTGCTTTGCAATGCACATTTTGTGAAACAGTGTGCTCAGGTGTTTCTCTGGTCTCAACTGACAGCGGCTTGTTATAATAGCGGGGACTGGGGTCACCAAGTGCGATTTAAACCTGATTGATGGGAGCCAAGCCAAGCTAAGCACAAGTACGAGGCCAGCCTCTGTGCTTGAATCAGCAATTATGCTGCTGTGTTGGGGCCAAAAATAATCATTCAAATGTATGTTGACGTCGAGGCAATCGACTAAAGATAGTTAAACTTATAGTTATAAGATATTTAGCTGGCAAACATTAGTAGGATCGTCACGAAAGTTTCCAGTTGCTCCGTGCATGTGCTCTTTGAGCCAGTCACATGGTATGTTTTATGTTGAATGGCTTCATAATGAAAAAAATAATGCAACAGGCGAAATGAAGAATGCCATCTGCTTTATCTGTTAACCTAGTGCACAAGTTGACTGCAGGTATTTATTTTAAATAAACAAATTGAACATTTTGGTATTGAAAATCATACCGTGGGGATTTCAGAATACCCCAGTGTATGGTATACCACCCAAGCCTCGTATCAGTGGTGTCTTGAGTTACAAGTGGTTGAATGTACCAGGTGAAGGGGTCCTTTCTGATGGCACGGCAAGAGGGCAGCCATGTTGGGGTGACTTACTGTAGAGCACGGTGATGAGGGCGATGGGCATCACCAGGAGTCCCACCAGCAGGTCGGCCACCGCCAGGGACATCAGGAAGTAGTTGGTGGCGTTCTGCAGCTTCCTCTCCAGCGACACGGCCAGGATGACCAGGATGTTGCCCCCGATGGTGGGGATGATGACCAAGATGATGAGCAGGGAGGCCCAGCGTGGCTGAACTCCGGCCACCTCCCCGGACCCTGAGCCGTTGGCCGCCAGCGGGGCCGCCTCTGGCTGGGACATGCTGCTGTGGAGGGGACGGCTGGCCTGGGCGCGGGTCGGGGCTCTGCTCTGGCTGCCTCAGGGGGCTTGGTCAGCATGGTCACAGGGTCCCAGGGGCAGGAGTGGGCAGCTCAGGTCCAGCACACAGGGCAGTGGCTCATCCCCGGGCACAGCATATAAACCAAAAAAACGGCCACTTCACAATCAAAAAAGCCCAGCTGCTCCAAAACTGAACAGGTCGCCTCGAAAAAATGTGTTGAAAGCAGTAATCCAAGCACAGAATGGACCTCCACTGTAAAGGGGTTGTTCGGTCAAGAGTTGGTTGTCTGAATCATAGTCTGGGCGCCGTTGTCTTCTGGTTTGTGTACATTCTAGAACAGGCCAGTTTCTACTAAAAGTTTTAGAAGGAAACAAAAGTGACTATGTTAAACCCCTTGGACATTAGTTTCAGTTTGAAGACCTAATGATGAGTGACATTTATCATAGCAAATGTCATGGGATTTTCCTCCACAGTCATTAGCATTGTTTCTAGATCATGGCTGAGTAATTAACCAAGGAAACGGCTATCGGCTGTAATCACTGCTTGCTTGCACGCTTAACTCTGGCATGTTTATCTACATGTTTTTTGTGTGTGTTGGTTAAAGAAAAAAAAAGAAGAAAAAAAACCTGCTGTTTGTTCTGGGTCTCTTTTTGTGTAGTGGTTTGAAAAGTACATTTTCAAACGAAATGGTTAACCCATAAGGTTGAAAACCATTGCATGTCATTAAAACAACACTAAGCTGTAATTATTTCGAACATACAATTTAATTAAGCTTATAGTTTATTTTCATTTCACTTTTGAAATGCGATTTTTCCAATTGCTTTGTAGTGTATATAGTTAGTTGTATCCTAGTGGCTTAAGTCTTAAGGCACTAGGGTCATTATGAATCCCCCACCTCCATATTTATAGATCAAAGTTATGCAAACACAAGCATATTTGGCCATTATTTAATTGACAATAGTATTACTCTCAATATATTCACATCCTCTAAATAGCCTATACATGTTATTTCCATATCATCATCTCAGAAGTAATTGACTCATACATTTCTCTTCCTTTTTAAAGTTAACTGTCTGATGTTAAAACAAGCACAGCTCAGAAGTTCTTAAGACTATTTTACCAAAACGTTAACAATTTCCTGTAGATTTGACTTATTTATTTTAAGATGAACAAATAGTTCGGGATTTACTGAGTTTCTCTTTCTTACCTTCACCGAAGGCAACAGCCCTTGTGTTCTCCTTTTAGTTTGTCCGGTTCATTTGTATCGCCATCTGAGCTGCTAGCTATAATCCTCATTTTTCAATCATGCAAAACCTTGCATGTTGGATGAACGGTGCTGTTCATCACCAAACAACTCAATCCTCAGGACTCCTTCAGTGGCTGCTTTTTTTCTTGTCCGCGCTCACGTTTTTATACATAGAACCCCTCCGAAATCTGAAAATGTCACGGGCAGCCATCCCCTTGTGAAAATAATTGCCTAACATTATCTCACTTCGGTGCGTTCCATCCTGCGGAAATTCCTTTGTCCTGCGTGTTGGATGAGCCCCCCGGTTTTGATTCGCATCACCTACCGCCATCACAGGTTGAAAACTTTCAGATGTCCTGTTTCCCCTCTCTCTCACTCCCTGTCTATCCCTCCCTCATGCTGCTTCTCCCTCCCCCTCTCTCCCTCCCCCTCTCTCCCTCCCTCCTATCTCTCTCTTACCTCCTCACTTACCCATGAGTCAGGCTAGGGAGAAGACAGATGAATGTCTCAGAGCTGGCCAAATGCCAGTGTTTCTGGGAGGCAATTTCCTTCAACACAGCCGACTTACTGTTTATATTTGTCACTTTCTGTTCTCTCCTCCAGTAGGGGTTGGGGGTTGGAGGAGGATGGAGTTGTTAGTGGTGCAGGCTAAATGTTGCTTCACAAAGCTTGTCCTATTGAAACAGCATTTTGACTTCTTGAAAAGAATTTGCATACTCTCCACATTTTTTTTTGCATCTCAAATCTCGCTAAACTTTACAACTGGTGTTAAGGGACTGGCCTAACCACCCCCGGCCAAGTCGGAGCAATTGCCTTTTGATTAGAACAAAGGCCCAAAGTCACCCCCCCCCCCTCGCCTGATTCCTATGTGTTGGATGCTCCTGATCCTCTGATGTTATATCTTCTAGCTAGACAGGATAACAATGGGAATGTTTTCACTTTGATTTGCTGCCCTGTCAACTCTTGATGAAGTCTGCAGTCATTTCTAATTTGAGTGGGATTGATGGTGCACAATGAGATAAGCTGCCAAACGTCCTTATGTCTCTGTGTGTTGAAAGCAACACTACACAGGTGCTTTTCCATGACTAATTTGGATCGAATGGAATGACAAAGTGAATCATATCTGCTTTTTTTTGGCATGTATGAACTGGTGCTGGTTTCATTTATCCTTAGTGTTTCCCTGCTTCCTACTTACTAATTTATGTGTGCCACTATGCTGGTCATCTCTGGAGGCTGAGAGGAAGGGACCGGATGGATCGGGCTGGTGCTACCGTGCTTGTTTTTATTTATTTTTTCCTTGTTCGCACAGCGTCAGACGCCGTCGGGACGTCTGCTGAAGTGAAACATGTTAGGCGCACACACAGAGGCATAGCCTATGCTCAGTTGGTGTTCAGCTAACTCTTGGAGCAATGTTTATGAACTCCAAAATGTCATCAAATCAAAGTTTATTGGTCGTGTACACAGATTTGCAGATATTGCCGGTGCAGTCGAAATGCTTATGTTTCTAGCTCAAACGGTGCAGTAATATCTAGAAATACAATAATTCACACATAATCCAAAAAGTAGCTAGAAACAGGACGACCTTGTCTGTCGGCACCATCTTGTCGATCATTTATATTGCTACGGTAGCAAAGCAAAAGGCACATTCGACCTCAAGCAATTGCGTTGCCAAACAATGGTTGTAAACCTTAAATGTATAAAGCATTGGCTCATTGGAAAGTTCGTATTTACCATACCCTCATTCATATTTTGCCCCCCAAAAAAATTGGATGGATGATATTTGTGGCATTGACACTTTTGCCACTGGCAGAAATGTTTTGCTTAGTCATACAATGGACTATCTAACTGTCGACCCCAACGGCAAAGTCTGTGCTTGGCCACAGGCCCCGCTCTACTCCATAAGTTGTGGATCCAAGAATAGATCGGTGGTTGTTATACATCTGTCACAGTAGCATCTCATATCCTTGTTGGTGAAATTGAAAGGCAATCCAGATCATTTGTGATCAACGGGTTGGCAAGTTGAGATGAGCTGCTAAATCAAATTGTATTTGTAACATGTGCCGAATACAACAGGTGTAGTAGACCTTGATGTGAAATGCTTACTGACGAGCCTTTAAGCCCTTAACCAACAATGCAGAGTTTTTAAAAAGTAAGAAAAAATTGTTACACAATAGCGTAATAACGAGGCTATATACAAGGGGTACCGGTACCGAGTCAATGTGCAGGTGTACGGGTTAGTCGGGGTAATTGAGGTAATATGTACATGTAGGTAGGGGTAAAGTGACTATGCATAGATAATAAACAAAGTAGCAGCAGCGAATGTGAATGTATACTGAAAAAAAAATATTAAAGCAACCATTTCAACGATTTTACTGAGTTACAGTTCATATAAGGAAATCAGTCAATTGAAATAAATTAATTAGGCCCTAAACTATGGATTTCAGATGACTGGGCAGGGGCACAGCCATGAGTGGGCCTGGGAGGTCATAGGCCCATCCACTTGGGAGCCAGGCCTACCCACTGGGAAAGCCAGGCCCAGCCAATCAGAATAAGTTTTCCCCCACAAAAGGGCTTTATTACAGACAGAAATACTCCTGTTTCATCATTTGCCCGGGTGGCTGGTCTCAGACGATCCCGCAGGTGAAGAAGCCGGATGTGGAGGTCCTGGGCTGGCGTGGTTACATGGGGTCTGCGGTTGTGAGGCCGGTTGGACATACTGCCAAATTCTCTAAAACGTTGTTAGAGGCGGCTTATGGTAGAGAAATGAACATTCAATTATCTGGCAACAGCTCTGGTGTACATTCCTGCAGTCACATTAATTATTCATGGCCATTTAGCTAGCTTGCTGTTGCTAGCTAATTTGTCCTGGGAGATGAACATTGGTTTGTTATTTGACCTAAAATGCATAGGGTCGTTTTTGTTAGTTTTTTCTTCTTTTTTTTTTTGCTGGATCTTTGTATAATATTTTGTCATACAGTACCACCACCAACTGGACTGGCGTGTGGACCTCATTCATCTTTCGATCACCCATGTTGGTATATGCTCGTAAAAAACAGTGAGTAGATGGGAGAGGTGGCACTTGCAACACGTCAAGCAGATAAAATAGAACCAAGTTGTATTTTAGCGGATAATAATAATATGCCATTTAGCAGACGCTTTTATCCAAAGCGACTTACACGGATGAAATGATTGAATGACATGTATGTGTACATTTATTTTGCAACGCGGCCAGTTTGGTCAGCATGTAAGGGGCTTAATGTAGTGTCTGATTACAGCAAGCGATTCTACTCTGATTAAATCTTTAAAGATGCACAATGGAGAAATCGCTCCGCAATTGCCTGGTTGCATAAATTCGAATAGTTCGCCTAATTTCAGTTTGTAACAAAACAAGCAAGGACAGTGTAGAGAATCATTGTACCGTCTAAACCGCTGTGAAATATATTTTCCATAACCAAAAATATTGTGTATTCTGCTGTTGGATGCTGGTGTACTAAACCAAAAGGAAAGACGCAAAAACTAAACTTTAAAACGGAATCATAGAAAAGCGCATGTAGATCAGATCTACCGCGTCTTAGACTTCCTTTCAATGAGAATGACAGATCTATAACACATATTTCTGTGTGAATTTTGAAGTTGGTTAGACACTCGTTTTGTTAATTTGTTTTAAAATCAAGACGGCGCAACTCGCGAACATGAATTTGGTTTCTGACGTATAGGCAAGCTATGCCTGTTTTT